TCTCAGGCTTATGGTGGAAAATGTATGCATTTCCTCCACTGAGGAGAAAACCCTGCATGATTAACATTCCTGGTTTCTCCAGTGCTCACCTGAGAGCACTCATGCCCTCTACATGACTTCATCTACTTAATTTTTTTACCGCAATATTATCTTTTAGATATGCATTACATTTTGCATTGATATTGGCATATTTCTAATTTTTGACATTTATTCTACTATTATTATTTGGAGAATTTCATACATGAGTACTGTATTTACATTATTTCTACCCCACACTCTCCCTTTCAACTCCTCACATATCCCTCCTTCCCTCTCAACCTCATGACCTCTTCTTCTTTATTATTGTTACATACATACACACACGAATATATAAATATAACCCAGTGACTCTTCAGTGTTGCTCGTGTGTGTGTGTGTGTGTGTGTGTGTGTGTGTGTTTAGTGATGACCACTGAGGATTGCCTAACCTACCAGGAGGCTCATTTTTAATTTTTAAGAGATTTTCTTTTGTGTTTCAGATGTTCCTACTTTTGTATACGCCTGTTTTTATAGATGTCATATTCCTTCTTATTTTGCAAGGGATGTTTGTGTTATCATCTGTGTTTTTGCTATTTTTTGAGACAGGGCCACACTATGTAGCCCAGACTAGCTTCAAACTCAGGATCACCCTGCTTCTGGTTTTTGAGTGTTGGTAGTGCAGGTCTGTGCTGCCCTACCTGGCCTATGTTACGCATTTTCAAAAGTTTTAATTTGTTCCCTGTGATTTTTAGAGCTACCTGAAAACAACAAGAAGCAGCAGCTACCTTGGATGTGTCTTTCATCTTCAATGAACTAGTGATTTTAATCGTTTGGGTCAGTCTATATTCAAGAATGGACATGAGAACACTGTGTTGGCAGTTACCATGGGTAGGTAAACAGTGGGTTAAACAGCGGGTTTTGTTGTAGGCCACGTGGCTGGACTCTTTTGTTGGACACTCAGAGAAGAACCTTTCATTGGCATGGGTACCAGTGCTCTGGAGGAAGAGCAGGAGGCCCAGAGGTCAGAACCTGGTGTGGTTTCCCCCATCACTTTTGTGTGCATCCTCTGCCTGCAGAGGCTCCTGCTGGTGCCCCTCTGTCAATCAACCCCTCTATTGGTCAACTTCTAGATCTTTCCCACTACCAGGAAGGGGCAAAGTGCTAGCTGCATGGGTTTAAATGTTTTCTCTTTAAATATTTTTAACTTGTTATGTAGCTCAAGTATATCAGTACCTCTATGTTCACAAGTGCCCCCCACATCTTATTATTTGGGGTTTCCTTTGAACTAACTCTCAGCTCCCTTTCAGCTTGGTTTTTCACCCATCTGTAGTTTTCCAGGTTGCTGGCCGCTCCTTCAACCAAACGTTTCCATCTTTTGCTTTGTTGCTTCTACTTCATTCTCCCATTGGCCATGAGTCTTTGCCTTTTAAAAAAAACCCGTTTATACTAATCTCAGTGTCTTTTACTACATAGACACCATGAAATAAGCAGATTTCCATTCCTAATTTACTTGATTTTAATGATACATTCGAAGATTTATTTTTAATTATACATGGGCAGGTTGGAAGTGGGGTTTCCGAATTTGAATGCAGTTCTCACAGAGGCCAGAAGAGGATGCTGGTTCCCCCGGAACTGGAGTTCCTGGGGGTTGTGCCTCTTGATTTGGGGGCTGGGCACTGAAACCCAGTCTTCTCCATCGGCAGTTGAGGCTCTTAACTGCCCAGCCGCCACTCCAGCCCCTTGTTGATGCATTTGAACCAGGCTTATGCTCTGGAAACCTCATTGCTCTTCAGCTTCCATAATGTTTTTTTCTCTCTTGACATTATATATATATATATATATATATATATATATATATATATATATATATATATATATATATATATATATAGTTATGGCTTTCCTCTGAGTATCTGGGATTACAGGCCTGAGGGACTAAGTGGATTGCTTACAATTACACATTTTCCATAGATAATTCAGTCGCTCATTCGGATTCAACTCCCTCCTTATCAACGTTGACTCTTAAGAGGAAGGCATATTTCTCTACCGTGAAAAACCTGCTTAGTGTTGAACCACCTTGCCACACAGCTATTATTGTTACTGGAGCTCTGTAATTCAGAATCCATGGAACTTCAACACGTGTGAAATCTCCATGGTAGGGGAGGGGTGGGCTGCATAATTGAAGACAGACACAAGAGGGAAATATGTCACATCTCTGTTCATTGTCCAAAGTAAGTCATGCAGTCATCTCTGACTCCAAAGGGCAGAGATGAGCAATCCTCTTAGGCCCCAAGAACTGAATACTGTTTGTCAGTGTTGGATTGTAACACTGACAAAATTAGGTCAGAAAAGGCCTTATAAAGAGTTTGCAGGGTTTTTTGTTTTGTTTTGTTTTGTTTTTATACTCCCAGTAACTTACTGGGTGACTGGTACAGCGTGTTCTGAGTAGAACTCAGATGTATCAGAGGATGGTGATCCATCTTTTTGAAAAGGTGTTCAGAAAAGTCTTAATCAATATCCCATTTTTCTTCCAAAAGAACAGGGACTTTTGAAATCCTTCTACTGACCTTTCTGCTGGCCTCCAAAGTAGAATCATTTTTCAATCATTTCAAAACCTTCCTATTTTTACCTTTGTCAAAATATTTCTCCAATCTCAAACATAAAGGGCATGTTGGAAGGAGGAAAAGTTACAAAATATTTCCCTGAAGAGAGGTAGGTGTGTGTGTGTGTGTGTGTGTGTGTGTGTGTGTGTGTGTGTGTGTGTTTTCATGCATGTGTGCTTATATGGGTATGTGTATGTGTATGCCTCTCTTACTGTGTTTACATGCATGCATGCTTTTTATGTAGGACATGGATGCAGCTGTATTCTTATTGCATGTTTAAGTGAAAATGAGGCAAATTGAACAAAGCAATTTTGAATCTAGTTCATAGCCCTTTCTTACATTTTCTGTCCTGCTTCCATGCAGTGTTAGTTCTTGTTCTGCGATTGGTACTTTCCACCACATGGACTAAATCTCAAGAAACAAAAGGTCCACAAAAGCAACAATGGGCAGTTTTGAGTGGCTGGTTTAGAAGAGTGCAAATGATCCAATAAAAATTTTAAAAGATTTAGAGGTGTGTGTGTGTGTGTGTGTGTGTGTGTGTGTGTGTGTGTGTGTACAGTAGGCACATGTGTGTGCAATAGCATGCATCTGTGTTCACACATGGAATCCAGAAGAAGTATCAGGCACACATCTAGGCTGGAAGCCAGCAAGCCACAGTCCCCTTTAGAGAGGGGGATACAAGCATTCACACATTGCCTGGCTAGTAAGTGCTACTTACAATGTGTCTCTGAGGGTGTTTCTGAAGATTAGCATTTGAATCAGTAGACTAAGCAATGAGATACCCTTGCACATGCTAGTCACCATCATCCAGCTCATTGAGGGCCCAGACAGGGTGAAAGACAGAGGAAGAGACTTGCTCTGCTTGAGAGAGACATCTCTCATGAGAGACAGGCCTGGTGTGAGCTTTTGAAACCTCAAAGCCCACCTCCAGCGACACTCCTCCAACAAGGCCACACCTCCCATCCTTCCCAACAACTCACCAGCTGGGAACCAAGCTTGCAAAAAGATGAGCCTCCGAGGGGCCAGGCCGTTCTCACTCAAACCACCACAGGAAGAGAAAGAGGTTATTGAGGTATGATGTTTGCTACCTTTAGAAGTGAAGAGCTGGCGGGGCGAGGCCAGGCTAAATTTACCTTCTGGAGCCCCACCCCTTCTCTTCCTCTGCCATGTTCTAACCCTGTTCCCATCACCTCTTTCACACTCGTGTGTACTCAGTGCCTTGCCTTGCTGCCTGCGTGGAGGCCTGCTATATTCTGTACTTCTCCACAGAGTATACACACACAAACCACAAGCCCTGTTACTCCCCCTCTTCTCTCTTTGTTCATCTCCAGGCTCTTCAGGTTTTCAGAGAAAGAAGTGGTTAGAAGGTCTAGTTAGTTCACATCCATCAGCTGTCTAGGTAGTTCTCAAATTAGGGTCCGGTCACATAGGGATTTGAGGGGTTTATGGAAATTGGGAAATGATGTACTGCTGAGCATTTACTCTGTGTCAGATGTTGTTTCTAATACTTTATATGTATTAACTCATTGGTTTAATCACAGCCCTATAAAGCAGATGCCTGTATCTCCATTAAACAGATCAGCCAACTGGACACGATGTCTTCATCTCCCTCAGACAGATGAGCAATGGAAAAGCTGACTTATTATCATGGGGGTAGTACAGCTAAGCCGTAGTAGAGACTCAAATCCAAGTACCGTGGCTCTAGCAATTCTTTCAACTGTCATTTGAAACTTGAGCAGGACTGGGTGGTCCAAGATGACCTCATGCACTCGCCTGACAATTTACCCACTGCTGTAGGCTCAGGTCCCCTCCTTCAAGAGAGCTTCTCAAAGGGTACCTCAGATTTCTTTGTTCAGCAGCTAGATTTGAAGAATTCCAAATGTCATCCAGAGAATTATGTTGATGCAAGAGCAGCCTCCAAATATGTCACCAAACTGAGTTGTCCCACAGGCCACAGAACACACAGCCAGACAGACCAAATCAAGGTCCTTGAGTCACACTGTCTAAATAGAGATTTAAGAGTGTGCCTTAAAATCTGTTTGTTCCTGTTTAGAAGTGGGGTTTGGACACTGGCGATGCTTAATCTTGATTGTCAACTTGACTGGATTAATTAAGGCCTAAGGGATCAGTGAAGCCTATCTCTAGGTGCCTGTAATGGCATTTTCAGGGAAAATTAAATCGTGAGAGCTCTGACTTAATCAATAGATTAATCACTTAATGGATTCATAATGTGATGGCATTACTGGGATGTAGGAAGAGACAGGAGCTGGAATCTAGGGGAAGGAAAAAAGTCAGTGGGGGGCGAGTCCTCTGGTTCCTTGCTGTATCCCCTTTCTCTCTGCTTCCTGTCTCCCAGAACGTGAAGCATGGCCTCTGTTACCTGCTCCTGCACTCATGATGTTTCCTTCAAGCACATGAAGCCAACAGCCATGAACTGACCATTCTGAAACTGTGAGCCCACAGTAAAATGTGACTCCTTTGTTTCTTTAAGGCACGTTGTCCTAGCAACAAGAGAACCCAAAGAGAGCCTCTCCTTTGAATCTGGGCTGGCTTTTGTGGCTGGCTTCCCAGCTAGTAGAACATAGACTATAACATGAGGGATGCTACCTGACTTCCAAAGACAGAGCAGAGTAGGTCACGAGCCTGGTTCCTTTCAGACTCTCACCCTGGGGGAGGCCAGCTGCCAGGTTAAAAACTTGGCCATGTTAGAAGGGCTGAATTTCCAGATAGCCAGTAGCCAGTGTCACCTGTCAGCTACACAAGTGAGCCATTTCGGATGCCTGGCCCAGTGGAATCTTCAAATGACAGCAGCTGCAGTTGACATCTGATTGCAACTAATTTAGAGACTTCAAGGAAGAATTGCTACCAAATCATGAGCGAAATAAAGCAAGCTACTAAAGTTCTGTTCACTCAAAGAGCAATGGTTAGCCAGAACAATTGACTAACTGATCTCTATGCAGTGTTAACCTGCTCCATGCTCCTGTGCTGTGCTGGTCTCTGCAGACAGTGTAATTATAGGGACTAAACAGGTAACCAAGGGCGAGCAGGTCTGCTCCAAACCACCTGGTCATTAGTTGGCTGAGTGTCTCTGGGGGTTATCACCTTTAAGACCATAATTGGACTACATTGAGTGTTACCAGCAGGTGTTCAGCTTAGGGATGCCATATCGACCAATCTAGAAGTAGTTTGATCTTTGCCTTTCTTTTTACTTTGATCTCTGCATTGTTTTGGGTTGAACCCAGGGCCCTGCCCGCCCTAGACAAGCACTGCACCATTCACCTGCATTTCCATCCCCAATGGAAAGGAGCAGGTGTGCTTCTTTTGAACTTCTTAGTGTTCAAAGTTTACTCACTTTCGATGTCAGTTCGAGGCATCGATGCCCACTGCCGCCGCAGCCGCCAGAGCCGAGATGCCTAAAGGAGGTAGAAAGGGAGGCCACAAAGGCTGGGTCAGGCAGTATACGAGCCCCGAGGAGATGGATGCCCAGCTACAGGCCGAGAAGCAGAAGGCCAATGAAGAAGATGAACAAGAAGAAGGTGGAGATGGCGCTTCGGGTGACCCCAAAAAGGTCACACAACTGGATCTGGATGAGCCAAAGGAACTTTCAAGGAGAGAACGAGAAGAAATCGAGAAGCAAGAAGCAAAAGAGCGCTACATGAAGATGCATTTGGCTGGGAAGACAGAGCAGGGCCAAGGCTGATCTTGCCTGGCTGGCAATCATCCGGAAACAATGGGAGGAGGCAGCAAGAAAGAAAGAAGAGGAGAGGAAAGCAAAAGATGACGCAACTTCGTCAGGAAAACAAATGCATTCACTCTCCCTGAATAAGTAAGCTGGCCTGTGGGAGGAGATGCTGAGGAACTGGGCCATGCCTCCAGGACCTCTGCCATGTCTCACCCACCCTGTGCCCTGGCGCCACTGCAGCAGCCCCTCATGGCCAGGAGCCCCTAAGGCCTGGGGCCTCCTCTTCATCTTGGCACGGAAATCATTCAGGGGCTGGGGGGGGGGGCTGGGGGGAGGGGCAACGGCTATCTTTGAGACAGAAAGATGCAGGACAGCATTTCATACATCACTGTTTGAATGTTTTTGGTGTTTTTAGAATTTGAAACCCTGGTTGGGGGCTGCCTGGGAAGTGGGGTAAAGAGATTCCATTTGTCCAGTAGATTGCGCGTTTTGGGGTGGGGGTGGGGGACAGTGCCAGTAGGCAGCTGGTGTGGGAGTTGATGATAACCAGCCCAGATCGTTGTCTGGGTGCTCACTCAGAGGGGCTGTCAGGAAGCCTGTGTCCCTAAGGGTCCAAGGCTTGTGCCTGACCAGTTCTGTCCAATGAGGCCTCTCCTCTCTGACCTGCTCTGCCCCCTTCCCACCCACCTGGTCAGGGCTAGTGGCCATTTTTAACCCTACCCATTGATCATTTCAAGAAACCTCTGGTTACTGTGCATCACCCAGACAAAACATGCTCCTCAAATTCAACTTGTATATTTGGCAGATTAAACAACATTATCGGAAAAAAAAAGTTTACTCACTTTCCCACGCTTCCCATACAAATCATTCTTTCACTCTAGTTCAACACGTAGCCATTTCTTCTAGGTGAGACCTGTCTCATAAGTGTCTTGTACCTACCTTTTATTTCTCCTACTATTTTACACACCAAAGGCACTAGAGCAAGTCCGCAAATGGGCAAATGCTTATCAAATCAGGTGGTAGTGTCTCTTTTATCAGCTACGGCAAACCACATGGATAAACCCATAGTTAGCATGCAGGTGGACTACATAAGCCAGTGGACAACAAAAGTTTGATTTGTTGGGTGTAGTTGAAGTTTCTTTGGGACCACCAGCTCCCAGATAATGACACAGAGATATTATTAATTATGAAAGCTTGGCCTTTAGTTTAGGTTTGTCCCACTAGCTCTTATAACTTAAATATCTATTTCTATTAATCTACATTCTGCCACAAGCCTTTTTACTTCTATTCTGTGTGTCCGACTCTCTCCTGTGTCTTGCTGGCAGTGCATCACATGTGAGCCTAGATTCTTCCTGAGTTCCTCTCTTCCCCTGGAAGTCCCACCTAACCTCTCCTGCCTAGCTATTGGCCATTCAGCTCTTTATTAAACCACTCAGGTATCTTAGGCAGGTGAGAAAGGACAGAGACACATCTTTACACAGTTTGCTCAAATATCTCACAACAGTTGGGAGTGACTATTGACAATCTACTACTTTAATTTTAAAGAAAAGTTATTTTATGTAGCTCAGGCTAGCCTTGAACTTGCTACATAGTTAAGCTGGCCTAGAACTCCTGGATCCTCCTTCCTCTGCCTTCCAAGTGCTGAGATTACAAGTGTGCATCACCACTCTCTGCTTAACAATGTACTATTAACACATTTAGGAAATGGCTACTGAGTGTATCAGGCCGAGTTCTTCAGAGAAACAGAACCACCCACCCCACCTCTTGAGAATGTGTTCTCTAGACTTCTTCCTGTTGTGTGTGGGCTACAGCATCTTTATGGCACCTGAGAAAGTTGAGATAATGCTCGAGTCCTGGAAAAACTAGCCATACTATTTGTTGTCCAGTCTCTGTGCAATAGGAAAGCACAAGGCTGATCTGCAGTCCTGGCTAGAATAGTCTGTGAGGCTGGACCATCTCAGCCAGCAGCCTTGAAGCTGTTTTGGATGCAGAACTTTGAGGAAACTGCAACAGAGGCACCCTGAGAGGTTGAATCACCTGGGTCACCCAGTTCACTGGTGTCTGGTCCCCCTGCTCTGACTTACGAAGGTAACATACATATCTGTATTAACACAAGTATGGACTGTGCATTGTACACAAGACAGCCAAAGATGATTTTTTGTTTTATGTTTGAGCAGGTAAAATATATGTCACTTGTCTTGTAGTTTTTCTAGGTTTCTTTCTTTATGTCTATAGCCAGGATTTTCAAGGTGTCTCCCCTGATTAAACCTGATCTTCTTTGACCTTGAACGAATCCACAGTCTTTTGTTTTTTGTGAAAACAAAAGCATAACCTCTTCCCCAAAGCAATACATTTTCTGACTTGTATTTTAAAGTTAAGGCATTCCTAAAGTATCTAGACTGGTTTAATTCAGTAGTCCCTTCCACAATCCAGTGTCTCTCAGCAGTCGTCATTTTTTGTTTATTAGCATTCAAAAAATTCAAAATCAATAAGACACCATATAGGATCCAGGCTCTCTGTGTATTTGCCATCCTTACATGGCCTATCTTTTTAATATTATTTTATTCTCTCTTTAAAGACTTTATCGTATTATTTTTAAACTTTATTTTTTATGACTGTCTATGCCCATTTTTTTTAAACATATTGTACTTTTTAGTTTTATGTGTCTGGATCTGGCTTTACTAAGCATCTGCGGTGTTCTCTGATTGTGTGAGAAAAATCTTAAACTGTTATATCAGCTCCTGGTGAGGCTCAGCTTAGCACATGGTGCTGGTGCATGGCACTGGCGGCTGGTGCCCATCCGCAGGCCGTCTCTGTATGCCGAGCCTACCTGGGAGATCTTGGTCACTAGGAAGGCATGCCAGGAAGCAACATTTGACTCCAAGTTTTGAACCTTTTTTTTTTTTTTAATATATAGCTTTTTCAGACTTTATGTGGATATACATGGCTGGACATTGGGGGCCATGTGTAGACAGATTTTTCTTTGTGCTGAAAGTTCACAAAAAAAAATGATCTGGGGACTTATTATTAATTATGGAAACTTGGCCTATAGCTTAGGCTTGTCCCACTAGTTCTTATAACTGAAATTAGTCCATTTCTATTCATCTACATGTTGCCATGTGACATGTAGTTTTTATGTCTCCTCCTGGATGTCCTGTTCTCTCTGCATCTGTCTGGTGACTCCCCTTTCTTCTCCCCAGAGTTCTCTGTTCCCAGAAGTCCCACTTAACCTCTTCCTGCTTAGCTAATGGTCATTCAGCTCTTTATTAAGTCAGTCACAGTCACACTTCTTCACACAGTGTAAAGGAATATTCCAGAACAGTGGATGTTGTTAATGATCTGGTGGCCTTTGCTATCTGTTGCACCAGACCTCACCTATATCCCCAGAATGTTTATCCCAGACTCTCCCTCCCCAAACCTTTATGTTTAGCTTTGTTTCTCAGTCAGTAGAATCCATCCTTACCTGCTGACCTCTCTAGACCCTAGACCCTTAAGCTATAGCTCCCATGTTCATGGTAGAGGTCACTTGTACTTTGCCAAAGAGATTCGATGCAACCATCCCTTAACCTTTATTGTGCACATGGGACTGGGATCATTGTTACCAGGAAACTTTCTTCCAAAATTATACTGTACTTAACTATGTCTAAAATAAACTAGCCTGGCGTCAGACTCTAGAAGTTGGAACCAACACCGGCTATCTAAGTCATGCTGAACCAAGTGTCTTTCTTGCCTCCGGTGGTCTATTTCTCTGCTGGCTGTAGAACTTGCAGGGATTCCCACACAGTACAGGAAGCACAGTCCAAATC